TTTACCATTTGGGAAATTTAAAATCTAATTGAGGACATTTATTTCCTTTTACGTTTCCTAAGTGAGAGCACTTGGAGCTATTTTTGGCATTGAGATTCTACACATACCTTTTACAAGCAGTGACTGCACTGCCGGTCACTTGAGAGAGACAGAAGACATTGATGCTGGTTTCCTTTCTCCTCCCACTCATTTTCAGCTCTTTTAATCAAGACGTTGACAAGCAGAACTATAAAATTTGAGCAGCTACCAAGGCAAATGAATTGTTCATTTGGTAGAAATTCATTAAAAAAGAGAATCTTACTAATAGTACTATTTAAATGTAGGTCCAACCAATAATCTTCCCTCAAATTACATTCAGCATTCGAAGCTATTTTTAGCTTGCCGTCAGCATTATTCTGTAGGTTTGTCAGTGTTACATGTTTTTATTTTTTTACTATGCCTTTTAAAGTCTCATTTTAAGGCACATAAATTCTTATGTGTACTAGAATATATATTTTGTAAAATGTTTTTGGTTAGAGATGTTTGTAAATTATCCATTGTTTAGGTATACTTAATTTGTGTGGTAACAAACATTCCCATTGTCTTACCATAAAGCCTTGAGGATCAACACGGGGGGGAACAGATGCTGCAAAGCTTTTGTGAATTTTAAAAATCCAAAATAAAGCAACAATTCTAAGTGATCAACTTGTCTTTTCTCAAATTCCCTCGCTCATGTATGACTAAAGTATAAGCTTGTGTTCCCTGCTGCATCTTCTCTTTACCGTTCTCTCCACCTCAGCTGCTGGCCAGAAGAGGAAAACTGAGACAGTCACTGGAGCAGTCCTGATGGTGCTTACCCGAGTAATACTCGAAATTATATGACTGCAGATCTGATTTCCAGAGACCTGCGAGGTTGGGAGTCTCCCATCTGAGCTGTCACTCCGGTTTTCTGCACAGCTGAGGGTGTTGGGGATGTTGTCAACCTAAAGGCGTCTCCACATTTGAATGAAACGTAACCTCTGCATCTTGGAGAAATAGAATTTATTCTGACGGAGAAGTATTTGAAGTTCAGGAAGAGGAAGTGCAATAGAGAAAGGCTGGTATGTGCCTATATGGCCATATCAGTTGTCACTGCTGTGACAAATACCCCAGAGGAACAGGATGGGGGTGGGGCTAGAGCATGATTTCAGGTGTGAGTCCACTGGTTCTGCATCTATGGTGAGGCACGACTTCACAGTGGGTGGATGGGGGCTTGGAGCACAGCCACGTTGCTCACCCCATGGCAACCAGAAAGCACAGGGTAGGGGTGGCGCTGTCTACACCTGCGGGCCTATTCCTCCTGAGCCTCTAGACACCACAGCGAGGGTATGTTTTCCTCCTCAAAGTCACTCTCTAGAAAGTTTCATAGACCTCCAGAAGTGTGCTTTTCCAGTAACCCTCTAGGTGTGTCTCGGTCAGTGAAGTTGATGGTAAGACGTGATGTGTGCACACTGAAGAGTGTGGAAGAAACAAGCTGAAGAGTGACAGTGTCAGAGTCTGCCTGTGTGTGTGCAAGCACGGGAAAATCTGAAGGGAAAATGTCTGCCCTGCTGAGGACGTCAGGTCATCGAACCTACTGAACCCTTCTCCTGACCTCTGAGTAAAGTGTTTGGTGACCTGGTCCCACAAAGAACAGAAAGTCTTTCAAACCTACCCTCTCTACCCTTTTCCTTTCTGCTTGGTAGGTGTCTGCTGCAGCACATTTTCTTTCCATAAATTAGCTTGTATTAATTGTACATAATAAATTTCATTTTGTGTGTGTGTTACTTGTATTTCTCTCCTTACCCCCTATTGTCCTACTTTGATCCTTTTCTCAACTAGTCTTTCCAGTGTGTGGGTTTTTCATTTTGTTTTGTTTTTGTGGAGTGAGGCCTGAGTATCTTACAGAAGCATAGATAAGAATTTATATGTAGGAGCATGGATACCTTTACTAAATTACAGTACCAGTAAGGAAAAACTCCTGCAACCATTAAACTACCTATTAATCTTCAGAGATCCTGTGAGCCCCTTCCCACTCCATGACAAAAGGTTGGTATGCCCAATCTCATGTGGGTCTGCGAGGGCGGTCGTAGGCCCTGAGAATTTGATAGTCTGATGATATGGCAGGCCTAGAAGGCAGTGTCACAACACTCCACCCCATCTTTCTTCCTATTCTCTGGTCTGTGATACTCTTTCAACTTTGCTATGTTTGATCTCATGACTTTGAATATCTCCAGTTACTGCTGCCCACTGCAAAAAGCCTCTGCCCAAACCTGCCTGGCACTAATCTATGGGCATTTACATATCATTTAGAAGAATATTTGATGGGAATATCCTGTTCATTTTACAAAGCAGCAACTATAGTTTCCCACTAGGGCCTGTGACTTCTCTAGCTATCAGCTTTTGTCCAAATATGTGGTATGTCTTCATACAAGTTATTTTCAACCTTTTTCACATTTCAAGTTTGGTATTGCCTTTCTTTTAGCATTTCTCTGCAATGTTTTCTTTGTTGACATGTTACTTAAGGTACAATCATCCCCTGCTGCTTTGAGTTGCTTTTTTTTCTCCTTAGCACTGAGCACTGCACGTTAACATACTTACATTTTCTCGTTAATCTGCAGGAGTCTGTCCCAACTACTTTTTTTTTTTTTTAAGATTTATGTGTTTGTGTCTGTGTGTATGTAGACATGTGTTTGTCCACAAAGTCCCCGTCAGATCCCCTGGAGCTAGAGATAATACATTTTAATCCACCCATTGTGGGTCCTGGGGTCCAGACTCTGATCCTCTGGTAGAACAGTTCCCTGAGCCTCATCTCCAGCCCTGTCAACTACAGACATAATTGAAGAATAAATATGTCTCCCTTCTGCAGGAGGAAGATAGGTTAGAGTCGAATGTGAAGAGTGTTGCATCAAGTGTGCTGCTTTGCTTAAGAGTAAAATTTGAAGTTACGTGAACTAGTGTTACTGCCAAAGTGCATCAATTTCTCATAGCCTTCAACCACTTCCTAACAGACATGGAGATGGGTGGGGAGGTGGGGATGAGCTGTGACAAGCACGGACAGATAAATGATTTTGTAATTAGTTTCTAAAGACTCACAATAATGTTTCTATAAACAGTATTAGTGTTGGGCCTTCATTAGAAAACTCTAACCTGCTTGAGGCTCCTGACTTTATGACTGAAGTTGGGAATTGAGATGACAGGTTCATCTTGATGGATTGTCTTCAGAAACATTTCGTTCTTAAGTGTTTAAAACCTGAGGATTTTACAGAAGCCCACGCCTAGCCTGTCTTGAAATACTTTGAACCTGACAACACTGGCTCCTCCCCAGGGCAGCTCTAACAGTCTTGGGTGCACACTCCAGCTCTTGTCACGTGCTCGCCATCTACTGGGAGGGACAGCAGGTGACCTGACTTCCCTGAGGAATTAGATCATGACAGGAAGGGCAGATACAAAGATGTCACTGTAAAGACCGGCTCTAGTGAGGACCATAAGGGTCTGACTATCTGCCTCTCCACTGTCTGATCAGAGGCAGTTCTGTGTGGTATGTCTCGAGCCAAACTTTGGAATTCAGTGATCGACCAGAATACGTTATATTCTTTGTAACGAGGCCTGTTCAGGCCTTTACTGCAGTTCAGTCCTTTATAGGACTATGCAGCGATTACCTCTCTTTCTCCTTCAGTAATCTCAGTGCTGAACAGATTCTGAAGCCCAAAGTTTCCATGAGTATTGTCCGTAGAGATCTGTTTCCTTACGTTTTGGCAATCTATATAATTACGTATGGAAATGGAAACTATGATTGCTGCCAGATCACTAGCAAGAATAATCCCTTGAGATTGATTGCACTTGAGTGTGCAGGGCAGTGTCTATCTTCGGTGCACACCTGCGCTGGCCTGAGGACGGCTGCTCAGTGCAGTTTCTAACAAAATATTTCTACACTGAAGCAGCTCACATTCTTCAACACCAAGAACGCTGTCGGTGCATCTGCTCATATAGTGTGTGAACCGGGAGGACTGCTGGAGGAAAACTGGGAATCCAACACCTTCATATATGTCGGCTTGTCCCCAGGAATGTTGTTGCTCGGTGTATAGGCACATATGCCACTGTAGAATATGTATGAGGAAATTCAAGTGTATCACCCAATAGAACATTAAACAGCTATCGGAGAAGTGAGGTGAGATGACTATGCAGTCCTGGAAAGTGAGAAGCAAGTTAGAGGGTCGAGCTCTCCACCACTCTGTTAGAAATCAGCCCCAGAGCCTTATGCGTGAGCACACTGAGCTATACCCCCAAGCCTCAACTAGAATTTTGTTTTGTTTTTTTTTGTCTTTGTTTTTGAGACAGGGTTCCTCTGTGTAGCTTTGGAATGTGTCCTAGAACTCACTCTGTAGCCCAGGCTGGCCTCAAACTCACTGAGATCCACCTACCTCTGCCTCCCAAGTGCTGGGATTAAAAGCCGCCTAGCCCAACTAGTATTTTGAAGAGATACTTGTGTTTGGAATATCAGAAGTGTGGACTGAGACTGGATAAATGGTCTACTTCTGGAGATAAGGATGGGAATAAGCTTTGGTGTTTGATCCTGTCTGAAGGATTTCTGCCATGAATAATCTCCATTTCCGTACTGACATGTTCTTGAAGTGTGCAAGACCTAGGCAATGCTGATGGAGCTGCAGAAAAAAGGGCTCTTTTCCTGCTGCAGCTTTGCTGAGGGGACTCTTCCTAGCCTTGCCCTCTTTAGGGATGGAATCATGGGCGGGGTCCCTGGACAGTAGGTTTATCTACTGGATTCATGTCTGGCCATGCCCTCTTTAGAGATGGGGAGAGGGAGGAATTCTTGGACCATAGGTTTACCAACTGGGTTCACATCTGGTCTTTTCAAGGCCAGACAGCCTTTCTTTGCTCTTGATAAATAACAGTTTCTGTTCCTCAAGTCTGGGGTTCAACAAAGATCTGTTAGCGGTAGGAGGATTATGGGAAAAAGTGAACACTGGAGCAAAATGGAAGATTCATACTCAGAACAGTAGCTGTCATTTATTAAGCCTTTATTAAACACCTCCCTGAAAGGCCCAGGATGACACCGGGACCTTTAGTTAGGACTGAGATGTGAATGCAAGAACAGCACAGCCCAAACTACCCGCTCATTAGTTCAAATCCAACATGGTTTCCCGTTGAACCAGAGCCTTGGGAATTTGAAGTGCTCTGGCTCGTTCCTACTGCAACTGGAAACTCGGTTTTTCAAAGTTACTTTTAAAGGCCAACGACCAGCTGGGAGGGAAGGGCAGGAGAAATAACCTCTCTTTACATAGTAAGTCTCCAGACTGTCACAAAAATACGAACATTATCACCGCTGAGAGACCTCCCCCTGCCCAGGGAAGAACACCCAACAGCTTCTCCTTGGTTTCACCATATACTCCAGAGGTACGTGTGGGGCTTGTTTTTACATTTATACAGTTTACAAAGCTTGACCCATAAATAACACGTGTAAGAGTAACAGGGCCCCAGTAACAACTATGTACATAGCCCCACCATGCATACAGAGCCTTTTATAATATTGAAAAAAAAAAACCAAACAAACCAACTTTCCGCCACTAAGCAATATAAATTGACTGTCTAAACTTATAAACCCTGACTAAAATACAAGCAACCATCTCACCCATAAATGCTGTTTCCGGTTCCCTAATGAATCTAGCACGGCAGTGTAACAAACATCTTGCAATTCAGGGATATAAAAATATCAGCTTTAAAATCTGAACTGTACAGTATATACATTAATATTTGCACCGTTAAATTAGGAATACACTTTAAGGTCTATGAAATACTACATATAAATAGCAAGGCCTTTCGATCTGGAGCTGGAAGTAATACAATATGTTTACCTGGCTAATAAGGGCTGAAGGGGAACAAGTTCTCACGCAATGGGACACGTGGTGGTTAGCTAGGTCGTCATGGTGACATGCATGCCTCACAACACGACACCACTCAGGACCTGAGCCAACCTGACTGAGTTAAGGACAAGTACTACTGCTCACAAAGGTGGCTGTCCGGCTTCTAAAACAAACACTGTCCAATCACCTGGTGGCAGTTTCCGGAGTGTTCTCTTTGTGGACTGGAGACCAAGGCAGTTGTAATTTACCTGCCACTGGCACAAGACAGTGTTTTAATCTGGCGCCACCCAGGAAGGGCACCTGGAGGAGGCCACTCCTCTCTGTGTGTTAATCTGACTGTAAACAGCAGTAGGCTCTCATTTACATAGGCCAAGGAAGCACTTTACACTATTTCGGCGACTCTCCTATAGTGAATAAAAGGTCCAAGTCCGGGTTAAATGGCTAACTTTTAAACAGATCATCTCGGGGTCTACTTGGTTAAGAAATAATACAGTTTTTGCCCTTGTGTCCCTTTTTCTTCTTGGATTTAGTTGTCCTCTGACTAAACTGTGGAGTGGGCAGTGCAGACGTTGGACTAGAAAGGTCATCTGTGTAGTAGGTGAATCTCTGCGGCCGCGGCTGAGGGATCGGTTGTCCGAGAAAATAGCCTTCTTCTTCGGAGTCGGAGGAGGACGTGGAGGACGAACCCCAGGAGTCATCGTCGTCCCCATAGAGGCCCAGGAACCTGTTCATTCCCGGGTTCTGCAGGGCATAATCGGACGTGGCATGGGCATACTGGCCGTAGAGATCGGCATTCTGCAGGTACGCTTGAAGCTCCCGGGCGCCTTTGTTCTGTATGAATTTCTCATAGTTATCCGGCGTGTACAGACGAAGTCTGTCCTTGGGAGAGTACTTCCTTTCCGTGACCAGGTTCAGGGCGTTGTCGGACCGCGACTTCCTGCTTCTCCGGTGGCGATGGTGGTGAGGCCTGGATCCCCTTTCTTCAAAGTGATACACGCGTCTCCGAGTCCTTTCACTCATTGGAGGCTGCCGGATTTCGACGTCATAGCTCCCGTTGTCAATGACGTCATCTGAGAACTTGACCTGCTGAGGTCTGGACTGAGACTTGGATCTTCTGAGCACCGGCAGGTGGACTGGCTTTTCCTCAGGCATGATTTTTTCCGGACATAACTCTGAATTCAGACTCTTTAAGGACTCCGCACTCCTGTGCAGCATGGAGGAGTTCAGAGTGCCCATGTTGCTCATTTTTTCACAGTCCTCGGCCTCCACCTCCTCAAAGTTCTGCAGAGAGTATAATGACGGCCTGGGCTTGCTTTCTCCGTCCACTGATGCTCCTGCAACAGAGCCCAAAACATGATGTGATTCTCACAAGTCCCAACATCCGCACAACCCTTAAATGTGGTACAGAAAAGCATCTACAAGAAAATTCCCTATTGAATCATCTGATTCAAACACACTTGGGGAAGCCAATGTGTAATGTTCACCAACTGAGAAGTATGAACTTTGTTAATGCCACCAGGGAACCTAAAGATTGTTCTAGCATGTGCCACAGGCAGCACAGACGGAAGCTCCGAGAGCCACCCCCTTTGAATGTCAGTCAGCCCCTTCGGAGTGGGCAGTTGTCTTCATCTCAGACTGGGGACAGCAGCCTGCTGTGTGCAGTCACACCAGAACACGGCTGTATTTAGGTTGTCTGCTTCCCCCTGTGGCAGAAACTAGCCATAAACTGAGCTGTTGAGAGCAAGGTTTGCCAGCCCCAGGCCTGTGCCCTCGGTCAGTTATCCCACTGCAGTCTTTAAAATGCATCACTTCCAGATTGCTCTTATTCCTAAACCAAGAGCAATGATCTTGGTGATGATATGACTTACTCAAGTTTCTATGAATCTAGGACAGTGAGAGACTGGTATGGGCCCCTGATCAGCTCCTGTAAGATGCTAACTCCCTACTTTGGAAAGATAGCTTGTTTATTCCCAAGGACTGTCAGTCTCTAGCATTTGACTTTTTAGTTTTCAGCACTGGGGGGCTTAAACCAACGGCCTTGCACACACAAAAGTGTTTCCTGTACTTCTGAGCTTCACCTCCATCCAGCCGCTGCCTTTCACGCAGTTATATCCAGTAAGGGTGACACGTTAACCTGGCCGGTACAGGGTCTGGCAGACAGTCTCACCTGCCATGCTTCCTCCGCTCTCCTTACAAGAGGACCCGTGTGACAGGCCAGGAACCAGAAGGGAGCAGTGTCTCACTGTTCTGCACAGACCACTGGCAGCGGAGAGCACTCGGTCCTTTTCCTGGCTATGTTATTAACACTATAAAGGACAGGCTGTTACTAGTTTGTGAACTAGGTGCAGGGAGCATAGTGTTTTTGTGTCCTAAGCAAACATCCACATGAAATTCATATACCATGCTGTTTTTTGTTTGTTTTTTTTTCTTTTTTCTACCAGTCTTATCTTCAAATCCTGGGTAACATCAGCCACTCAGCTGTCAAACAATTCGTTTACTCCTATTTAAAATTAATAATACCTACTTTATACAAGTCAGGGTCATTTTAACATAAAGCATGGGATAAATAATAAGAATTTGCCTCGGAAATACTAAAGCATAATTTTATAATGAGGAAAAAAAAAACACTTAGATTTTTTTTTTTTGAGCTATCTCAACCCACAGAGCAATCCAAGGATTTTTTTTTTTTAACAGTTAAAAATTTATGAATTTTAAGACAGTAAAAGTAGCCTGAGCATGTTATATAGTATAATCTAAACACAGAATCTCTAACCCCTGATCCAGGCAAAGATGTTCATATCCAAATCTGTTTCCTCCCATCAAAGGGCTCTCTGTTCAGGATATCACACTGAGTACTCACCTCACAGACACACCTGCCTAACATCCTGTGGCATTTAAACGAAACACCTTTGTTCCTCCAGAGTTTTAAATACGACGCCACCTACTGGTACTCGGTGGTAACTTGTTAATAAACCTTTCAGCGCCTGCTTTTTCAAACACCCCACAATCCCCGGGTGACATACCTGTGATATTGGACAACGCCAAAGAATCCATAGAATCCCGGACACTTTGTTCTGGCTTCAAGTCAGATAGACACTCCAGGGAGTCTTCATACCACTGGCTTTGGTCATGGTTGTACCCGGCAGCACCGTGGTCCAGATCCAGCTCTTGCAGCCTGCGGCTGCTGGCAGGGCCAGGATGACTACCGTAGGCAGAGTCACCTAGCCCGTCCTGGGACTGTGCCCAATACATATCAGACTGGTACTTCTTACTGACCAGGCCCTGGTGATTTGGCTTCACCTCAGGTTTGTTTTTGACCATGTTGTCAGGCATCCAGTGCTCACTGGCTCTAATCTCCACCTCACCGGGCTGCTGCTGGAAGAGGCTTTTATCCCCGAATTTGAGGAGGAGCTGTGTCATGTAATCCTCATGTTCGGCCCATTCTTCAGGGTCTTCGGAGGCTTCCTGATCGACTCTGGCTTTCCAGAACTCCTCATTAGCAAAGCCTGCTCCCTGCCGGGAGAGACTCAAGTCGTCCAGCTTCCGAGATAGGGTGTCATCAGCATTGCCGTTAAGACCGGGGAACTTGTAGTTCAGAGCAGGGGAGAGGAGCAGAGACTGTCTGCACTGGTCTGCGGAGCGACTGCTTCTGCCCATCCGCACACTTCTCCTCGAGTCCCTGGATCGGGCAGACTGGAATGCAGAGTCGGAAGAATCGGAGGCGTGCATGTCTTCACCTAGGCTGCAGGTCTTGGAGCAATAAATCTGACCTTGCTTTGGAAGGAAGGGGCATCCCAGCAAAGAGGCCTTACACTGAGCGCAGGAAAAGCAAGCCTCTGTGGCATGCCAATGTTGCCCATCATAGGTCATCTGTGCATGGTCCACACCTGTGTTAAAAGAGACAGGAAAACACTTAGGTGCTGGGGAGAGGTGTAGACAGGAGGGAACTTGTGGGTGATGGGAACGCTCTGGGCTTTGTTTTTAGGGAAACATCTCACTATGCGGTCCAGGTCAGCTGTGAACCCGGGGTTAGCTCTGAGTTCTTGCCCCTTCCTGCCTTAGCCTCTGTGTTAGGACTCCAGATGTGCACTACACATCTGGCTTGATGTTGCCTTGATCTTGTCAGGTGTGGGTTACACATACTGTTCACCGTCCCTATCTGTAGATAATGTATTTGTCAACTTATCTGTTCAAAGGATTATTTGTAATCCCAGCATTGATAGCCAAAACAGGGTCATCAACAGATATGCAGATCCATTAAGATTTAAATTGAAAGGCTGGACAGATGGCTCAGAGGTTAAGAGCACTGACTGCTCTTCCAGAGGTCCTGAGTTCAATTCCCAGCAACCACATGGTGGCTCACAACCATCTGTAATGAGATCTGGTGCCCTCTCCTGGCAAGTGTATTTATAATAAATTATATATATAACATTTGTATATTAATTTATTATATATTAATTAATTAAAAAAGATTCAAATTGACCAACACATGTTCCCCACTGAGGCCATACAAAGGGACCCTTTGGATTCATTTACTGTGCTATAGTCAAGTATCCTGAGCTTCACATGTTTAGTGTCATGATGTTTACATTTCTGTGCTTTGTTTTGCTGTTGAACATGTTTGAGGCATGTAGTTGAACCACTGTCTTGTGCTTCTACACACATGCAGATACAAGTATGCCATCGGCTTTAACTGTGAACCACATGCTGCTGGCTGAGAGCTGGCTGCTGCCAGTGTATTTTCAATGAAAGGCTTTCACCCCAAAATACATGAAACAGATGTGTTAATAGACTGAGAAAAAAATGGTGTGACCAGGGCTTTCCTAGTATATACAAGGTCCTGGGTGTTACCCCCTAACCCTACCAGAAAAAGGGGAATCCCCAGAGGCCCACGGGAACTTTAACTGAGCGTGCCTAGAATCAGCTCAGTGTTCGCTGCTATGAACAATCAGAACAGCCTATTCATCTGACAATCACTGACGTGCCGTGTGCTCCGATACATGTAAATTATACCTCAATTTTCACACCAACGTTAACAAAGGAGCAAGACGGTGGATAATCACCGACGGCTGCGGCTGTGTGACAGGGCAGACAGGAGGTGGGCGGCAGCCACACTTACCAATGTGCTCCCCACAGGTTTCACAGTACTCCGCGTAGAGAGACTCGAAGCAGCCGCAGCAGAAGGGGCGGCCATCCTTCATGATGTACCTCTGCCCCCCCAGGACCGTCTCGCATTCTAGGCAGCAGAAGTGTTTCATGTGCCAGTGGCGACCCTCGGCTTCAGTGCACTCATCAGCGAAGATTATCTTTAAAAAGAAACACAGAACAGCAGAATGGAAGGTCAGGATGCAAACAAACAAACAAACAAATTAGCATATGTCCAAGACAAGCCTCCACTCTACACAGCCGACATTGGCTCTCGAACCTGAGCTCAAACACCCTGCAGCAGGTCCTGTCTTAGGGGTTCATTTGGTGGTGACATTCTTGTTGGAGGTGTCCTTTGTGGCGGCCCTAGCCCTCAAGGTCATCTGGTGAGGAGTGTGTGTGTGTGAGGTGTTACAAAATAGCCGTGCCCTGGCAGTGGGAAAAGGCACAGACCTCATGTCTGCCCACCTGTATGACCCCTGGCATCTTGGGGTATATGGTGGCCAAGTACAGCGGCCTGGACAAGACCCAGGAGAGAGGAGAGGAGAAGAAAATGCAGGCAGTGAGGCAGCTAGCTGCAGAAAATGGAGAAAAAGCTCACAGCAGAAGAAATGGCATGTGGAGTAAGAAGGGGTGGAACAGAAGGTTGACACACCCACAGGGTACCCAGAGGCCACCAAACCCAGCATGGAAAAGCTCTTGCTCCTGGAACTTAGCAATAAGAGACCAGTTGAGTTTGCAGGACAAAGCTGAGTGACGGGGTGGAGAATGAGAAGGGCCAATGTGAGCTACTGGAAGTCAGGACAGTGTCAACTGAAACACAGCTCTTCCTGGTCAAGGGAATGTCCAGGCCCAATTTGTCCTTGTTTGTTTGCCTGTTTGCATCCAAAGCCTTACACTGTAAACCTCTGAACCTTTACAAAGTAGAAAAAGAAAACATTAGCTTCATATTTGAAGGGGGTCTTTGATTTGGAGGGTCAACCTGTTCTAGTATGTTCTTTAATTGCTCTAACTTTCTACATCTAATTTCTCGTTAACTTAAATCCTCATCAGATCATCGATAACTTCAAAAAGTCATCCTTCTTTCCTACGTGTCTGCTTTGTGTTGGCTGGAAGAGTGTATAACTTTGTTTATTTGGTTTTGGGGGGCAGGGTTTCTCTGGGTAGCCCTGGCTGTCCTAGAACTCGCTCTGGAAATCAGGCTGGCCTCAAGCTCAAGAGATCTGCCTGCCTCTGCCTCCTGAGTGTTGGGCTCAAAGGCATGCGCCACCACACCCAATGAGTGTTTGGCTTTGTTACCACAGAGGGCCTGACCCACTGACTTAGTTATATTGTGTTTATACTCTTGGTGTTCATCATACATGTAAGAAAGAAAGAGTCAACTACAAAATATGCAATAGTTTGTAATATGTGTGCCTACATAGATAGCTACAGATAAATACTGGCTTCATGCATGTTTCCATTTCACTGAAAACGACTTGTCTACAAGAATACAAACTGGCACTGTTGGAGAGGGGAAACTAAGTGTTTGCTTCAACTTGGAGGTAGAAGTGAATTTATTACACTTTTGTTTGTTCCCAAGGACCATTTTAGTGGCGAAATCTAATGAAGCACACATTAGCAGTCAAGTCAATTTTGGTCTGCATATGTTTTAACTGAAACCAGTGTCTGCGGAGTGAACACCGAGCCAGTGAGGCTGGGGATGTGTGAACAGTTGTGAAAGAAGTGTTTTGTCTGACACAGAGGCCGCCTCTACATTAAGGACTTTAAAATCTTTATATTTCATTAAAGAAATATATGTGTGGATGTATAACCTGAAAACTTTGTCCCAGGCTGAGGAAGACAAAGAAGACACAAGGAGGAACCCTAATTGCAGGGGGCCATGTAGTGTCCTTCTCCTATATGATATATGACCGCCTCAACGACCTAAAATAAACTCTCTGATGGGGAAAAAAAGTAAAGGCAACAATCTAACCAAAGCCAATACGTATAGGCATGGCCCCTGCATGAATGGTGATTCTTGCTTTCACCATATACAGCATGGTTATGGGAAAGCTAGTATCTGGGAGCAGGGAGAAAGGTGTATAGGGGCTGTCTATAGTATCTTTTCAACCTTTTCAAAAATAAAGTTACTTTAAAATAAAAAGTTTGGTGGGCATTGTGGTATGTATCTATTATTCCAACACTTGGAAACAGGAGGCAGGAGAATAAGGAATTCAAAGTTTTGAACTTCAGCTACATAGTAGAGTAAGTTTGAGGCCTGACTAGCTTTATGAGGCCATTCAAAAAATTAAAATCTCTATATAATAATAATAATAATGTAAGAGAAAGAAATTCCTTTTACACTGTTATCCACCTATGCTATATCCTTGACTAACTTTGGTTTGTCTTTCTAGCCTTTGTTAACTGTATACAACATGTCCATTATATCGAGTTCTTTCTTTCCTATATTTGAAAAAAAAAATAAAGGTTGTATTCTACATATTCTTCTGCAGTGTTTTTCCCCCCTACATTTCATCGGAGACATCCATGGACAAGCAAAAAGCACCTGCTTGCCCCCTATTTATTGGCTACACAGAATTCCATTGTGGATGGGCAACTCTATCTTAAAAATATCCATAAAGAACAAAGCACGAGGCATGTGTTTTGCTTAGTTGTGAACAGTGGAATGTTGGCTGTTGGCTTATTTTTTTCCATCGTTAAGGGATGAACTTTTTTTTTGTTGTTGTTTTTTTACCTCATCACAGGCTGAGCATCGAGGTTTGAGCAGTTCTGCATGGTGCCTGCCACAGTGAATTTTTCCATCCTGATAGAAATAGATGAGGTCGACCAGTAGCTCATTGCACGTGAAGCAGACAAAGCAGGACGGATGCCAGCATACTCCGGGGCCTGCACGGGAGGCAAACACTGCCACCTCCCCTCCATTCATCTGCAATCCACACTAAAAACAAAGATTGGAAATTAAAATGACCCTTCGTTTAAGTTACTGGATTTTTAGTTTTTCCCACTTTTAAATAAACTACAAGGGTTTTCTTTTTTTTTTCTTCTTCGTGTTTTTAGGATAGCTTTAATTTCTGTCTACTGCTGGTGATTGAATGACACCAACACCTCTACACAGCCACTCTTCCTAGTTCTGTCCAGTATGACTGAGCTGCTTCCCACTCTAGAGCTTTCGTAGGGGCTGAGAATCATTAGTAGGGGATTAGAATGTCTTCATTATCTCTCTGTGTTTTAAATACAAGGGTCCCTCCCTGCAGGACAGTGTCATTCAAACAGACTGACTCCTGTTGTGTCAGCAGTGCAGACAGTAGACAGTGCAGACAGAATTCCCGTTAGGGAATTCTGTTTCTCTAGAAGTTTTTATAGGGTGTGCATCCATACCACCCATCAGCCACCCTCTGCTCACCCCACCCACACGGCTGCCACCCACCCTCTGCGTGCCCTAGAAGGGGCTACCTGCTCACACGCCGCATGCATCACAGCTCTGGACAAGAGTTTAATGGTTCCTCTTCCCAGCGCTTCTTTCTTCCTCTGTGCACTGAACACCTGCAGCTCCTTTTTCTCCTCTTCACTTAAAGACTGGCAGTACCGCACCTTTGCAGGAAAGAGAACAGAGGTGTATTTTGCAGGGTGGCTGTGACCGGTCTTCCTTCCCGGAGTTTCAGGACGGAAAACAGTACACCTGCCTGCCCTGCCCTGCCTTAAACCCTTGGCTGGATGTGGTGGTTCACGCTTTTAATCCCAGCACCCATGTGGCTGAGACATGTCCACCTCCAGGAGTTCGAAGCCAGCCTGGTCTGCATGTCGAGATCCAGACCCCGTCTCAAAAAAATAAAGTAAAATGGACCTCAATCTCTAGAAAAGGGACGCACTATCTGACAGAATGGGCATGGCTCACTATTTTCTAATTGTGAACTGATTGCAGTCCTTAGCAGCAAGAAAGATGCCACCTTCCACAGAAGGTTGAAACCGGGTAATTGCCACGTTCACTCCTTCCCACTGCATTCTGCAGGAACTCGGGTCTTCAATCCTGAACTACCCTGAAGTGCTCGCCCTGCACATGGAAGGAAAAGCTCCCAATAATTGCTGGGTGGCTGAAAACACCATCAAGAACAACTTGTGTGAAGAGTCCCGCTGTGATACTCTTTTCTCTATTCTAAAAAAAGGAAGAAAAGCCTTGTTCGTAAGGTAACCTTTTAAGAAAGGCCGAAGAGCGGCCTAGCCAGTGAAGAGCTGGGCTTTCGGAAAGGCCCCAGGACGCTGACTGTTTATTTTCTTCTTACTAATTAGCTTTCCTCCTGTTACTTTACCTCGTTATCATGTGGTGGCAACTGGTACAAAAGCTGTTTAATCCGGTGTTTCTCTCCGGGGCTGTTCACATAAGGGACCTTGTCCTCCGGCAAGCAAGCAAAGTAAAGCTGGATCTGTGGGGGCAGCACAGGATGGATGCCATCAATACACAAAAGGAAGGTCTGAGCGGGCGGGTCTTCACCTCTCCCTCCTTTGGGGGGGGGTTCTGCCCCCCTGCAGCTAATGAGGGGACCAGCTGAGCCAACTCAGCAGTGGTGCAAACCTGCATCTGCTAGCATCAACTAGCATCCAGCTGCTAAATTGCTCCTCAGGAATGCAATTTGCAGTGACAATTAAGGACATCATAAATTACGAGCTATCAAATGCACGCATTTACGGTTCCTGTTCCCCAGTCTTGCAAAGGTCAGCTGAGGGATCAAGAGAGAGTCCTGGGTGAATTCTTGGAGATTCTGTGACAAATATCCAAGATCCGGCCTCTAAACAGACAGACTCAATTTTCTCTCTAAATTCTACGATTCTCTCTGCCATCCACTTTACAGGGTTTGGATGGGTGTTATCTGCAGTACGCAGCATGCTGAGCGGGTCTCAGCTCACTTTGAAAGGGGACATCATTTTCATGTCTCTATTGTCTTTTAGGAAATCCCTTGGTGAAGGCCACAAAGGATGCTGCAATGCTGAGGTGGAATCAAAGGGATTCAAGAAGACCTAAAGGACCTGGGGGCCGTCTGCTAGCAATGGTTCAACAAACACCATCTAGGATGTAAGGGAGTCTCTCAAAATTCCACTTCCCCAACGGCTATGCCAGCACACCTTTGCTTCCTGTGTGGGCTCTAGAAGCTTTGCTGATACCCTACTATTACTAGTCGCTACTTATACACCGGGTCTTGAATGTATAAGGATGCCTTATCTCAAAGGGGTTCCCTCCCACCTTCCAAGAAAGGTAACTGGACAACCAGATGCGAGTCTGTGGTCTTCTGTTCTGAAGGACAACTTTGCCTGCCTAAGACCCACCAACAATTTGTGATATCGTCATCATAAGGATACTGGGAAATGAAAATAGGCAGACACTGTCCCCATCGTCCTCAAACAGCGACGCAAAGGAAGCGCCACGCTAGTGCTTTCCCAGCCTCCGCTGCACTCATGGAAGGCCAGACTTAGTGGCAACACTGCATCCCTCTTCCACAGAGGAGAACTACACAGACCTGGCTGGGAGGTGGCCCTTTTATTTCCTTCTGTTTCTACTGAAGTTCTGAGATATATAAGAGCCAGGCATACTGGCACACGCCTTTCATCAGCACTTGGGAGGCAGAAAAAGGCAGATCTCTGCAAGTTGGAGGGCAGCCAGGACTACACAGGGAGACCCTGTTTCAAAAGACACACCCTGCCCCTGCTCCCCTGACCATCAAAAAAAAAAAAAAAGAAAAGAAAAGAAAACAAACAAACAAAAAAAAAAACCCAAACCATCCAAGTCAGGTAAGTTCCTCTTCCTCCCTGAAGAGGGACTCACAAGAGCACTAAGAAGCACACCCGTGGTACCCGGCATTTTATTAATTACAGCAGGAGCTGAGTGCGGCCATGGGGCCACAGGATCCACGAGTTCCCACTAAGAAGCCAAAGAGAACCTTGGAAAGCAAATCCAGCTGAGGGAGAGTGAAGATCCATACTTGGAAAAACAGTGGAAGTTCCTGGAAAGCCAATCAAAGAGTGGACTCCTTACCTGCTCAGGCCTGAGGCCTGGTGGGACCCAGGCATACTCTTCCAGCGCACAGCCAGAATCATCATCTGACGTGGAACTTCTCTGGCACCCGAAGGCCAGTTTGCTCATTTTGGGCTCCATCTCCAAAGGCATAATAATGAGGTTCAAAGCCTGGCTTCTCCGTCACAGGACATTCACCAGTGGCTGCTGTGGATGACACAGGAGAAACGAATGTAAAACCTCCACTCTTCCGAGACCGTCTACTTAATATCTGTGTCCATGTGGATGCGCCCAGAGAAAGGGATCAAATGCCTGGAGTCACCTGCAAGCCCCAGTACCACTCAAACAATGAGGAAGTGATCCTCCTTAACCAGCTCAGGATCAAAGAAGAAAGGCCACCATGCTAGAGTTCTGGGTCGCCTTTAACAGGTGATTCCTGATCATGATTTATTTGACAAGTACTCAAGGAAACCGCTCTGTGCGCTACTTTCCCCACAGGTGAAATCCTGTGAGGTCTTCAGAGTTTACAAAGACGGGAACTGGGCTCTCTGCCTCACCCACCATCAGCTACCCAGGAAGATGGCTGCCGCGATGCTCGCTGCTAGCTCCCCATATTTCCTGAGCAAGTCTTCCATCGCAGGCAGTGCTGACTGCTCAGTGGAGCCCCTGGGACAAACCGCACATTGGACACGTCTAGTCCCTGGACCAAACCTGATTTACACGGGGATTAGAAAGGGCTCAGGTCAAGAAGGTATTCAGGGAACTCCCTCCACAAACAGTAAAGGAATACACAAGACAGTCCATGCCACAACCAAGTCCAGCTGGGTGACTTGATGTTAAATCGCATTATCAACTAACATTTTTCTGAAAAGTTAGGCAACGTTTATTGAGTTAATGCATTTCAACCAGCCCACTCTTAGTCAGTGTGAGCTGTTAAATCTCTGAATAAAAAGCCGCCACAGAAAAAGGACAATGAAGGTGTCAAGACAGTAATCCTGACTCTGGGATGTCAGCTTTGCCAGCCCCGTGGATTGTCTCTTTGTCTTCTAATCATCCTCACACAGGCTCTAAAGAAAACAAGAGCCCTCGCAAAGCCAATTTCCTTTATATATTTTGATTTTATTTTATTTATTTTTTTTAAAGATTTATTTATTATGTATACAACATTCTGCCTCCATGTATGCCCGCAAGCCAGAAGAGGGCGCCAGATCTTGTTACAGATGGTTGTGAGCCACCATATGGTTGCTGGGAATTGAACTCCGGACCTTTGGAAGAGCAGCTAGTGCTCTTAACCACTGAGCCATCTCTCCAGCCCCCTATATTTTGATTTTATAAATTTATATGTCAAAATATATAAAGCAAGTTGTGTATATTTTGATTTTATATATACATTTACATATCAAAAAATAGAAAGAAAATTGTGACTAGTCCAATCCAGTCACTTTAGACAAAAGGGGGCTCAAGGGTAGCGAACAGCTGGTGTAAGGACTAAAGCCGAAGTCAGACCTCAAGAATTCTTCTGACTTAATAAATGTTCTCATTTGCTTATCTTTGAGGTAAAGGCTGCAATCCTAAACAGCCCCAGCCTGAGACGAAGTCATGTTTCAGCAACTCTCTCAACGCTTAGTGCTGAGGAGAGCGGGGAGAAGCACTTGTTAAAATACGTGGCCATCCAAATGTCGTCTTCCTTTCATAAAGCACGGTCACTTTAAACTCGACACTTTGAGCAGCACCTGCCTCCTGGCTCCTACCATTCCTGCAGGAGAAATCCTGAGTCAGCAGATGCTGCCCCAGCTAGTGGCCTTCATCCACCCCAACACAGGGGAGGGCGGCCCCCTTTCCGACACCACCATCCTGACCCAGTCATTTCCCACAGGTGCAGACCATTCGTCTTAGGCGGGCTCTCCAAACAGAGGGGCATTCATCCGTTCCCCCTCTTCCCAGCAATAAAAGGGAACATGCTAATGAAAGTCAGGAGCTGTCTTGGATCTTTTTCTTTTGCCTCAAAAGAACCCCCTCCATGTGGCAAAGAAAGAGGACTAGAGCTGAAGGCTTCGGTTTGTAACTCACAGTTTCCCTCCAGGACTGGCACTCCCAAAGCAATTTAGCTGAAATTTTGAAATAGGAGCATTTATCTGTTGTCAGACCTGGCTGGGGGTGGGCGGGCTAGGGTGGGAATAACAGAAAATATACAGGTTAAAAAGAACCTGAAAATTAAATGTTACTCTTTCTTAAAAGGAGAAAATAAAGGACACTATAAATTATGTCAAACCATGTTTTTCTAAACTTGCCCCACGATGTAAAATGCCGAAGATCTGAATCCCCTTATACAGCTGTGCGCTCTGAAAATGTGGGCTGAGTCACCATCCTGATGGAGGCGGTCTCTGTGAAATGTCACCACGCCCCCTAGTTGCTTGGATGAACTGGCCACTTCTTAAACCTCCAACTCTCAGAGGTTCATTCCAGCCTCTCAGCCAACTTCACTGAAGACTTAGTTTCTGGCAATAGAAAGAGTTCAGCTATCGTGGGAAAACAGGAGTTGTTTTCATCCAAAGTGTGGCTTTGGGTTTGATCAGCAGGGTAGCCAGCTTACCTGCTACCGTTGGCATTACAATATTTAAGTACAGGATGAAGCAGTGTGAGACGGGTGGTGTGTCTCACTCAACACATGCTGAGCCTCACGGCCTGATGTCCAGGGGCATGGAGTTAGGGAGCCTTAGGAGCAGACCCATGTGGGTGAGAAACAAGCAGGAGGCTGGAAGAGCTGGTATACTTCTTTTCTTTTCTTTTTTTTTTTTTTAATTTTTTTGTCTTTCAAGACAGGGTTTCTCTGTATAGCCCTAGCTGCCCTGGAACTTGCTCTGCAGACCAGGCTGGCCTCGAACCCAGAGATCTGCCTGCCTCTGCCTAGAGTTGGTATATTTTAAAGGGGTCATCATGGTGGTATTCCACACAACTTAAGTCAGAAAGTGTTAACAGTTCCACGCCCGTCCTTTGTCTTTTCTCGCCTCCTCTTTCTTGAAGACTAGCTAGCTACTCTCACCATTTAAAAAGAACCACACTCGCAGCCTGAAGATGTATGACTTTTCAATCATCGTATAAGTGTCAAGAGAACATCTGACCCAGGAGGTAAGAGTGATAGTCCGGGTGAAGGATCTGGTGTTCAGTGTTGGGGAAACTGAGTTCTGAAATTCTGGATCCCCTCATGAGTCATCAAATACCCCGAGACGTGGGGTATTTTAAGCAGCAAATGGGGGTACGACTCAATGGTTAAGAACACTTGCTCTGTTTCTCAAGAGTTCGGTTCCCACAACCGCCTGTCCCTTCAGCTCTAGGGGAATCTGACTCCCTTCCGGCTGGCACACACACCAAAGCTTTCCTTGGAAAGACACTTTTAAGGCTACAAAAGACTCTGCAACCAAGAAGGAACTCTCTGAGTACACACCATCAAAGTTACTACTGCAGGGTACCACAAGAGGCAGTTCCTTTAGCCATGACTGAGAAGACTTTCTTTTTTTTTTTTTTTTTTAATTATTTATTTATTATGTATACAATATTCTGTCTGTATGCCTGAAGGCCAGAAGAGGGCGCCAGACCTCTTTACAGATGGTTGTGAGCCACCATGTGGTTGCTGGGAATTGAACTCAGGACCTTTGGAAGAGCAGGCAATGCTCTTAACCACTGAGCCATCTCTCCAGCCCGAGAAGACTTTCTTGAAGCTGATGGGGGACATTTGGAATAGGAACATGCTAATGACAAAAGAAGACAGGGTGCTGACCCCTGGATTTTACTTTTTTTTTTTTTTTTTTTTTTTTTTTTTGTTTGTTTTGTTTTATAGAGACAGGGTTTCTCTGTGGTTTTGGAGCCTGTCCTGGAACTAGCTCTTGTAGACCAGGCTGGTCTCGAACTCACAGAGATCCGCCTGCTTCTGCCTCCCGAGTGCTGGGATTAAAAGCGTGTGCCACCACCGCCTGGCTGGATTTTACTTTTAATTTAGAACTCGGGAGGGTTCTAGCCTCTTAAGGGCAAAAGATTTTGAGAAATTACTGGTCGCCACTTCCAGCAGCCTTGGAGGCAGCTTCTCCAGTTCCCACACTAATCCTGGACATGATATGTGTCATGAGCACACACAGAGCATGTGTGCTGTCTACGGAACAGGTTGGACAACACCTATACACAGTCTTAGATATGAAGGGCATCTGTCCCCAAATCAGAGTATGACCTCATTCACTCAGTGATCGATGTAGGGGTCTTTTCTTTCTTGATTTATCCATTCCATTCGCCCATTCTTATGATTAAAGGTGGGCTGGGGGGGCTGTGTGTGTGTGTGTGGGGGGTAACATCAATGAGGTAGCAACTGGGGCTAAAGAGATGGCTCAGTGGTAAAAGCACCTGTTACCCTTCCAAAGGACCCATGTTCAATTACCAGCACCCACATGGTGGCTCACAACAGTCTTGTAACTCCAGTCCCAGAGAACCCGATGTTTTCTCCTGGCTTCCATGGGAACCAGGCACAGACGTGGTATATGGACATACATGCAGGCAAAACACCCATACACATAAAAATTTTCAAAACAAAATTTAAAAGGGAGACAAGTGACATTCCACTGGGAGCCGGAATTTTAAGTAAGTGTAGCCCATGTAATAGGAACGGTCCAAGGTCTGTTATATGTGTTATATATATGATATATATCATATATGTGTGTGTGTGTATACACACACATTTCTGTAGTGGCGGCCTGTGTGTAAATTACAGGATTGAGCCTGTGGCTGGCCACTTGTTTTCACAGAGAAAAGTGCACAAGCTTCAGAATTCCAGCAAGGGAGACAGAATCCAGCTGGGTGACCTAGAAACCCACTGTTCCCCGGGAATATGTGCAGACCGGGGTGTACACAGGAGCTCGAGCCCAGCGGTCTGTTCACCGGGAATATGTGCAGACCGGGGTGTACACAGGAGCTTGAGCCCAGCGGTCTGTTCACCAGGAATATGTGCAGACCGGGGTGTACACAGGAGCTCTAGCCCAGCGGTCTGCTGTCAGACTTTCTGCAGGTGTTTTCCTCCCTGCTGACATGGGTTTTGTTTGTTTCTTTTCTTTTTCTTGCTGTTTTCAAGTCAGGGTCTCACTATGTAGCTCTGGCTGTCCTGGAACTCACTCTGTAGACCAGGACTGACCTCAAACCCACAGAAATCCACCTGCCTCTGGCTCCTGAGTGCTGGCTGGGGTTAAAGGCATCTGCCCACAATGCCTGGCTCACTTCCACTAAGGCTGTCTGTTGTTAAGTAACCTTATCCTTTTATCCACGGTCAACAACGCTGAAATCTTTAAAAGCTGCTGCCTTCAATATTCTGTAAGCTGGGCAAAGCTTGGAAGAACAAATTCATCCAGGGCTGTGCAGAGAAACCCTGTCTGGAGCTCCTTCCATCCCCCCACACCCGCAAATGGTACAACTTGTCTGCACTACAGTGTATTCCTCTATCAGCACAGGCATTGTTGCTGATGGCAGTCAGGTGTGAGGGTGTCAGTCAACCAAGCCAGAGAGCAGCTTTGCTTTTTTTTTTTTTTCTTCCTCTGGTAGTTTGGCCATTAGAAGTCACTTTATTTTTTCATTCTGCATAGGACAGCTAAGGGTTAGTATCCTGACTGACCCTGAGATGTAAAAATCAGCCTTTCTTTTTGCTTCTAAAGTCAGTGGTTCTTGCCCTTCCTAATGCTGTGACCCTTTAATACAGTTCCTCATGTTGTGGTGACCCCCAACCAAAAAATTATCTCATTGCTACTTCATAACTGAAATTTTGCTATTGTTACGAACCGTAATTTAAATATCTGATATAGAAACCCCTGTGGGGTCTGGACTCACAGGTTGGGAACTGCTGCTTTAGAGAGCTGTGGCAGGGTGGGGGAAGAGGATCACAGGGACTGGATTGTTCTAAGTCGGCAACAGTGTATAAAGTTCCAGAAGCAGCAGTGGAGAAAGCAGTTTCCCTAAAAGACAGCTTCTCCCAGAGAACGGTACCTGATCAGGCTGTTAAGAACTGGACCTGCCAGGCTGGAGCCTAGACACTATTGATGGGAAATGTCAGAAGAATGTTTCTGGCCTTCCAAGAAGACAGACATTGAAAATTATGACTAGGAAAGAGGAGAAGAAGCCTGGGAGGGGTACCTACTTCCTAAGGAAGCCTCCAAGGGTGGCTTGGGAGAAGAAAGTAAACAAACTAGCAGGAAAGGGAGAATGAACCTAGAGTTTTGAGATCCTATAGCTGGGAGATGGGAGCGCAACTCAGAAGGGACGAGAGGGTCCCAGGGATTCGGTTCCTGCAGAAGGCACCGAATTCTGTCACCTCTGCCCTGGCCCCTGCCAGTCATCATATTCTTGGACCAACTCACCAAATCACTTCAAAATTATGCAGATCTAAAACAACTGTCAGGGAGCTGGAGAGATGGCTCAGTGTTATGAGCACAGGAGCGGACCAGGGTTCAATTCCCAGCACCCACATAGCAACTCACAACTGTCTGTAATTCCAGTTCCAGGGGATCCATAGCACCATGTATGCACGTGGTGCACAGATACATGCAGCCAGGCACCCCCCTCCACACCCCCACATAAAATAAAACAAGTAAATCTTTAAAACAACTGTCAATCTTCCATGAAGTCTAAGACCCTAACCTTCAGTGTCCATACTTCCCAATAAAGCTCCATGCCAACCACTACGTGAGGATTATCGTAGTTCTGGAGAGTCCTTATGAAGCCCTTTGATCACCTGGACAGACAGTGATTTGTACAGTCATTTGGGCTAAAGCTCCCTAGGTGTCCCCCACTGCTAAGTGCCACCTTGCAAGCCACAAACTTGAAGAGCTAATCTGTTTGTTAGCAAGGCCTTAGAGCACAAAGGCCATTCCAGGTTCCTTACTCCAAATTGCTCTGATTCTAAGAGGTTAACACATTTAGGTCAACTAAGTGTAATCAAGCACAAATCTGGTGGTACAGAAGCCTGCACACGTCTGGTCTCAGAACACAAATTAGACAGCTTTATGGATATACACATTTCCATTTATGACGTCCTTAACTTAAAATGAACCCAGAGTGAGCAAAAGCATTGGAATCAAAGTTTGAATTTCCCAATAAACACACACGCGACTATAATTTCTTCAAAGTTTCCACACACCCCTGTGGCCTACTAGAGACAAAAGTCACTGCTCCCAGAACCCAAGTCGGCTTCATTTGTGGTGGAAGAACAGGCATCACCCAGCTATCAGGAGGATGTTAATGCAGTTTTTCTTTACCAAAAGCACCCCCAACACTAGCCATTGGTGGCATTTGGGCATTTGCCATTGGGTATTTTCCAGGTAAACCTCCACCCAGCTTGCCCATTTTTTTTTCCCAGCTGCTATGTGCCACCAATTGCCAAAACACTATCCAGTTTTTTCCAAGAGAGACTGGCGGACCTCTTCGACAGCATCCTAACTTCACACACACACACACACACACACACACACACATTCCAGGACAGTAAGAGGCTGCGGACCTCTTCGACAGCATCCTAACTTCACACACACACACACACACACACACATTCCAGGACAGTAAGAGGCTGCTTAACAAAAGGAGGAAATCCCATGACAAGGCATGGTGCTTTGCCAGAGATTTCTGGAGAGATCTACGCTCGCATGCTATGGCCTGTGACGAATCACGCAAAGCCATGTCTACCAAGACCATCATTTTCCACAGCGGGAGACACATTTTCTCAAAACTATGTTCCCGTCAATGTCTTACTGATTTTTTTTAATCTCTATTTTCGGCCGCGGCCTAAGGAAACGGCGGCCAGACCTGACTCCAATATACACACAGACTCAGGTTTCACCCCGTCACCTGTTGGCTCCAGAACAACATCCCCTTTGTGAAACTTACAGCTCTCGTGAAACGCCGTTTCCCGAGAAAACACTTCCTTAAGTATGCGACAAGACTCCGAGTTGGGAAAACAAACTCCATTCCACACACCGCCTGCTTTATCCGCATACGGATTAACGTGAGTCTTTCTAGACGGGCTAGGAGGAAGGATGTCACCGTCTTCGGGGACACTGCGGCGGTGAGGGCTGCGGGGCCACCCAGACCCCCGGAGCAGGCTCGGCCCTGCGCCCAGGCAAGCGGCGGTGGCGGCTCTGGCCGCAAGGGGGAGCCTCGTCCCGGTCTGCCCCGCGTCCCGGCTGCACCGAGGAGGCCAGCGCCCACGTCGGCGATCGTGTCCCCGCGGTCCTGTCCCCGCTGTCCCTGCCCCGCGCTCGCACCCAGCCAGCGCCGCGCACCTGCACTCCCGGCACCCGGACCCGGTCCCCGCGCACAGGCTCGCAGCGTTCGTTGTCGCTCCGCGCTCCACCCCCAGCTCGGCTCCGGCTCAGGACAGCCGGTCGCGCCGCCTGCTTTCCAGGAACTGTCACACTAACTGTCCCCTGGCAGGTGTCCACCGGGGCCCGCCCGCCCGTACGGCATTCCTAGGAAAGTTACCCAGATGCGGGAGCACCGCCGCCAGTCGCGCTCCATTCCCCGCCGCCCAGAACTGTGACTCGCGCGCTGCAGACGCCCAGGAGAGCTTCTGTAAACTTCCCCCGCCCGCAGGTGCACGCGCGGCCACAGGCGCGGGCCAGCGCGCGAGGGGGCGGTGCTGAGCCTCGAACTCAGGACTCCACACGCTGGGCAGGCACTCCGCCTCGGCGCTACACCCCCAGCCCCACAGGGCTCCCTCTTACACAAATCATCTCCACGCTGTCCATAACAATGCCAGCAAATGGCGCATTTAACCCAGTTCTCACTCCGAAGGGCTCATTAACATACGAATTCTCTCCGCTTAAGACTTCCTTGCATTTAAATGAAAGCAATTCCTGCGGCTTAGAACCGGAGATTTATTTTACTTTATTTTTTTTAGCAGTAAATAACAGCAAAAGCAAAAGGAGTCAGGCACACGCGGCACTTAAGTAACTAGTAAGGGTTTTTAACTATCATCCTTGAACCACAAGAAGACACCCCACGCACGTTCATGTTAATCTTATTTCTGTACTATTTTTAGGGGCTCTAAGAAAGGAATTTGGCTTCAGCTGTCTGCGGAAAAGGCTCAGAAGCAAAAACCGGACCTCAAAGAGAGCCCAGAAAGCAATGAGAATTGGTAGTGATCATTAGTAACTAGTGAACAGCGGACGTCCACGATTCTCCTGAGCTACAAGCTTTAATCCGGACAAGAGCCTTATCAGGTGGGGGCAAGGCCAGCAATACGCGTACCGTGAAGAGCAACAGTTTCTACTTTAAACCCAGGATGGCGATTCTGCAGCATTTATTTATTTATATGGAGAACAATAGCCTATTGTAGCTGCGATTTAAAAATACACAGGTTGCCATAAATAGATCGATCCCTCGAGTAAATAATTGTGTGGCCAAATTCTGTTATCTCTGCTGCTGAACGAGGCAGCGGATGACAAGCTGAGTTTTTTTTTTTAAGTTGCTACTTTTTTTTTTTTAAAGTGACAGAACCCAAAAAGTCCTGGCTCTGTTGTTAGACTAGTTTGGGAACAATAGTTCAGATATCACAAATTATTATTTGCAATTCAAATGGATTCAAGTTTTCCAGATGATTCCCAAAAGAGTACCCCTGCCCGAGGGCACGGGAATTTGTGGGAAACCTCTTTCCCTGTTGATCTGTAAAATTCACCACCGAATCTGATGAGTAGGATTGCTCGCTTTCTTGTGTGGTTTTTATTTTATTTTATATTATTTTATTTTCGGACAGAGATTTTCATCTGGTCCAGGCTGGCTTCAGACTTGCTGTGGAACCTAGGCTGCCCTCGCAAGTACTGGGATTAGCAGGGTGAGCCACCACACCTGTCTCAGATTTCCCTTTTCCTCCTTCCTTCTGTTTGAGCTCCTCGGGGAAGACCAGAACAAATGTGCAACCGGTTATTGCTTTACATCACACTCTAAACTGGCCTGTCAGTAAAATACAACAGATTTTATGCCGCTAGGCTGACGCTGCGGACCAGAACTCTTCCAGGAGGCTAGCGCCACACTGAGTGTTAACACACAAATACTCCCACCATATCCTGTAGTGAAGGCTTATCGGTATTAAATGTAGCCCAGCCACTGTGGGCAGTTACAAGGTAACTACTTGTAAATACCGTTTGCCACATTTCCAGCAGGTATTGTCAACTTGTCTATTGTGTTCCTGCCAGTGAAGCAGTTTGGGGACAGCGAGAAACTTCCTACCAACTTTCCATCTGAATGAAACAGACTTTGGTCTGGTCGGGGAAAGCATCGCTACTGTCAACAGTGAATCTATGCAGATAGAAGGCAATGCCCCCAGCTGGTGTCCTTTTGTTTCAGGTAGGTAGAATATTCAGTTGCTTGAAGATCACACTTTAGGGGGGTGAGAAAGGAAACTTAGAAATTCTCAGGGCTTAGCTTCCCACACCCCGAGGGCCCTGAGGGCTTCCTTACAGTTGACGACAGCATCACCCTCCCTCCCCTTTGGCCTCAGGGCACTTAGCACCGCCTGGCACTGGGTGCTTATTTAGTCACCGCGTTATTGTCTTCTGTTCTGGAGTTCACTGCTGTGTTCTCAGCATTGTGCCTGGCACATATCAGAGCAGTGCAGTGAACCCGACGGAGTGAAGTGAATAAAAGATTCTCGCATGTTCTTCTCAGGTCCATACCTTATCAAGTAACACCGTTTCTAAGCTTAAGCCATTGTCCTAAGGATGGGGTTGTTTTAGGGGAACAAATGTGACAAGGGCAGAGAAACAAAGAGGTAGTATTTTGTCAAATGCCAGCTTATCGAGTCTGGTAGAAAGAGATAAAGTACAGGCTTCAAGGAAACCTTGGTGCCACCTCCCTATGGTGACCTTGAGGTCTCTTTTGAAAAACACTTTCCTGGGCTGGAGAAGTGGCTCACTGGGTAGTGATTGTTGTGCAAGCATGAAGATCAGAATTTGGGATCCCTAGCATGCATGTAAAAAGCCAACTGTGGCCATGCACATTGGGACCTCCGTGCTGGGACACGGAGGTCCTAGGGGTTCACCAACCAGCCAGTCCGGTTGAGACCACAAGCTCCAGGTCCAGTGAGAGACCCTGTCTCAAAAGCAAGGCAGAGAGCCATAGAGGAATACAAGCAGTGTCCACTTCTGACCTCCACATGGCCGTGCACAGGTGAGCACACCTACCCACACACCACATGCAAGCATGCACACATGCATACACAGTAGCGAAGCACAGACTTCCTTCTTGGCTTTAAGGCTGTGTTGCTCTTGATTTCAAAACATTTTAAAGGCATTAAAGATGAAATGCCAGTGATCAGGGCAGAACGTTCCCAAGCAGAAGTCTTTGAAAACAGCAAACGGGGGGGGGGGGGGGGGGTGTGACTGACTGGCTGCAGTGGTCACCATGTCACCGCATCCACCTAACTTTGAGAAGCAGTTAACAAAACAAGTAGGATTTTAGTCTCTGGAAGAGGCATGGCGTAGGGCAGTGATTTGGTTTTCACAATGAACAGAGTCCCCAAACCATACATCCTGTAGAATCAGTCACAATTCTTGTCCAGATCAGTAAGTCAAACGCTGGAGGAGTAACTGTAAGAAAGCTGTCTCATCCTTGCAAGTTGGTACCACGTGTTTCTGTCGTGGCTTGGGAGACCACTGAGCCTTTGGAAGTTCTCAGTCCTGTTAGCTGAGCCTGCTCCACCCCAGGGAAGGGCTGGAAGGCAGGTGGCAAGGTTTTTTCTAGAGTTAGGGGCATTTATGGAGGTTTATGATAAGTTTCAGCTTCACAAGGTCTCCAATTACTTTCTTTACCCTTTGATTATATTGAAAGCATCATGATTAGAGAGCACTGGTTCCTCAACAGTTTCTACACCCCATTCCATTGTATTTATGACTCCAAACCTCCCAGCGACCCAGCCCCCGCCCCCACCCCTCCTTCAGCGAGTGGGGCCATCTTCACTTCAAAGTACCCTGGTGCACAAAGTTTGTCATCAGGGAGCTAAAAGCCCATTCTCTCCGCAGGTACTTGCCAACACTGGGACAGATCACTTCTCTAAGGTTAGTCTTTGTCTTGGTGAGTGGCCCATCTCTAAAATGCCAGTCTCAGGTCAATTTTAAAACTTCTGGGGGTGGAGCACAAACCATTTTTTTTTTCTCCAGGTAAAACAGATCATTTGACACAGAAACAGAGGAAGGTGATGTAGCTCTGAGAAAGTCCGGCCCACTGCTCCCCGCGCACACAAACCCCAACCATGCTGCTCCATGCCAAGCTGCCTGCTCCCAGCATTCCATCGGTTCTCCTGGCTCTTGCTATGGCAGTGTTTTTTCAGTCTAAGTGCTTGACTGCTGATCACCGCTTAGACATTTATCCCCGCTTAGAGAGGGGCCGTTAGGAGACCTCAGCACAGCTGGGTGAAGAATATAGATCTGGGGTACCTTCCCGATGGTTGTTCAGATTACACTAGTGAAAACCAGCAGCCACCATGGCCTTCTCTGCCCTTCACTCCCAACTACTCTTGGGGACTTCTTTTCACACCCGAAGATATGTCGGGCAAACAAACTTGTGTCCAGTATAATTGAGAGAGTTGCCACTGATTCTGACCCTCAACCATCTCAGCTCCTTTTGGGTCTGGGGTTTATTACAAACATCTTTAAAGTTCACTACTGAAAAACTACCGTCATGTTGGGTGTTGGTGGCATACACCATTAATCCCAGCACTCGGAAGACAGAGGCAGGCAGATCTCTGTGAGTTCAAGGCCAGCCTGGTCTACAAGAGCTAGTTCGAGGGCAGGCTCCAAAGCTACAGAGAAACCCTGTCTCAAAATCCCACCCCCCAGAAAAACTACTGACGTGGAGAAATTAAGGAGAAACCTTCCAAAAGTACTGGAGGGGCTGTACCCTGGCACATTATCCAAGATATATCCAGGTATCACGATCACAGTGTTTGGCTGAGAACTTAGAATACACACACAGCAAAATATTGAGAGAATATAAAGAGCACAAAGCTGACAGCCTTTCTTAGAGGAAGGTAGTTCCATTGGTAACTACCATCCTACGATTCTATTTATCAAACAAGCAAGACATCAAGAGAAGATGAAGCAGAGTGACAGTGGGGTGTCAGGATGCTCGCCTGAGCGGCACTGAGGCAGGAATAGCTTTGGACTGAGGTGAGCCATCAAAGGTCGAGGGAGGTGGAGGTACTAGAAAGGGTGTCCAAAGGCAGACCCAGGTGTGGGCATCTGTGCAGCCCTTCCAGGGCAGGGGGATCCACAGACGCTTCCGCAGAAGACTGGCTGGCACATATGCCTTCT